TCTAGACAATGAAATAGGTCGCTGGATTCTGAGAAGGTACCTTGATGGTGGAGTAGTGGAAACTTCTCAGGAATGTCCTGTAATGCTCTGTCTAGCTTTTAATTGTTTTAAAAGTGTTTTTATCTTTGAGAGGCTCATGCACTATATTTTTATTTTATTTCCTGGGTCCACATTCCACCTCTTACCAGTCTAATCAGTGCTACCAATAGATTTGTTTGTTCTGAGAGAGGTCTTGTTTGTTTTGAGACACGGTGGAACTTAACAGAGATTTACTTGCCTTTGCCTTCCTAGTGCTGGGATTAAAAGCATGCAAAACCACTCTGGACTTCACTGTTGGTTGTTCTTAACCACTTAGTTTGAAAATTTCTAGTTAAGCTATAAATAACATTTGTGTTTTTAGATGGTGGAATAGAAACTGATGTGTGTAATTTTTTTTTTTTTTTTTGATAGGCTCTTACCTCTTACCTCTCTGGCTGTCCTGGAACCTGCTATGTAGAGCAGGCTAACCTTGAATTCAGAGAGATCCTTCTGCCTCTTCCTGAGTGCTGAGATTAAAGGTATGTACTACCATGTTCAGCCATGTGATGTGTTCTTAAGTACTGCTTACTTATCAGGAACACAGAAGAGTGTTACTTCCAATCATTCTGGAATTCGAATGTAGGCTGAAGACCAGCTGAGACACCCAGCCTTGTGGGCTGAATAACCCCCAGATTCTTGGCCTTTCCTCTGGGAGACAACTATTGTTAGATGAACCAGATTGATTCTTTTCGTTCTATATCTCTTTAGAGAATCCCTTATGTGAATAAAATCATGCCTTTTCCTTCACGGGGAATTGAATTCTCAGTTGACTTGCTGGTTCTTTTCAAATCTGTAAGGATGATGTTCAACTCTCTTCTGGTTTGTAGTTATTTTTAGATTTATTTCTTTTAAGTGTGAAGTGATCACTTATATTCTATTACTTGGGAATCAGATATTGGGGTAAAAACCTAATTAATCAGAGAAGCGGCAGAGAAGCGACTAGTGACATCCCCTCACCACCTCCTTCCTTCTATCCAAAAGGGTCTTTGAATTTTTGGAAGCCCCTCCCTCTTACTTGCTGCATCTTTTTGTGTGTCCTGAGTCCTCTAAAACCTCAATGGCCAATTTGGGTTCCCCAGTAGCTAGCTCTGCCCTGTGATTCAAGGTCAGAGTGTATTCAAAATAGCCCACAACATAGGAGTATGAGTATTTTGCCTGCATGCATGTACGTATCTTGTGACTGAGGAGGCACTGGATTACCTAGACCTGAAGTTACAGAAGGTTGTCACCTTCCATGTAGGTGCTAGGAACTCAACCCTTGTCCTTTGCAAAAGCAAGCAGCAAGTGCGCTTAACTGCTGAGCTATCTCTCTTATCCATATTTTTATAAGTATGTTTACAATTGCATTTCTTGTTTCTGCAGTTGGTGACTTCATTTCCCCCCATTGTTTAAAGTTTTTTTTTCTTTTTTCTTTCTTTTCTTTTCTTTTTTTTTCTTTTTAATGTGCATGTGTTTTTGCCATGGGTGTCAGGTCATCTGGAACTGGAGTTACAGACAGTTTTGAGGTATCATGTGGGTGATGGGAATTCAATGTGGGTCCTATGGAAGAGCTGCCAATGCTCTTAAACACTGATTGAGCCATCTCTTCAGCCCTAAAGTTTTCTTCCTCTGCTTTAAGGTGAATTGATGATAGAGGATTTTGGTATAAAATGTGTGTGTGAGAGAGAGGAAGCAAGCGGGGCGGGGGGGAGCGAGCACTTTTTGAATCACTTGGTTTATACTTTTAAGTTAATTTGAAAAATTTGGCAACATCGTTTAGATCTTTTTTTATCCTTACACCCTTTCAAGGAGGCAGTCACCACTTGCTCTGGCAGCTCTTATGCAGCTCACTGACACAGTGTTCATATTTTTTTGGAGTCCTTGTCCATTTCTGTTGCTAGAACTTTAGTTTGTTCTTACTTATCCATCTGGTTTTATTTTATTTTTTATAAATCCAAGATATTTGCATCTCTATAGATTTCTGTCTATTTGCTTTTAGTTCTGAAGCATTTTATGGTAAAATATGCATACCTAGGTTTACTGTCTCAGTATTTTAGGGACACAAGTTAAGTACATTTATAATGTCATGCTACTTTTTGAGGGGGTGTAGGTAAAGACTGCTCTTTCATTTCCCGGCCTCCCAGATCCAAATAATCATAGAGAAACTATATTAATTACAGTATTGCTTGGCTTATTAGCTCAGGCTTCTTAGTAACTAAATTTTATACCTTAAATTAACCTATTTCTATTAATCTGTGTATTGCCATGAGGCTGTGGCCTATTGGTAAGGTTTTGGTATATCCTCCTTCAAGCAGCTACATGGCATCTCCCTGACTCTGCCTACTCTCTCTTTCTATCTCTTCCAGCCTGGCTATATTCTGCCCTGCCATAGGCCATAGTATCTTCATTCATTAAGCAATAAAAGCAACACATATACAGAAGAACATCTCACATCATCTCCCCCTTTCTGTCTCATTAAAAAGGAAGGTTTTAATTTTAACATAGTAAAATTATATATACAAAACGGTTATCAAGCAAGAATTATAGTTATAATATTTCTTTGTGAGTCTAAAGTTTCATAACTAATTTATCTTTTATCATAACTAAGGAAAATAACTATTTGTCTTCACCTCCATCAAAGATGCCAGAAAGATATAATGTTACCTAAGTAAATGTGAAATGTATTGTAAGCAACTTTCAAAACTCTAGAATTGACAGAGATATCTCACTGCCTGGACAGCCACCCAAAGTTCTTCTGTAACATTGGGGCATCCATCTTCAGCCTACAGGCCCATAGTATCCAGTAGACTTTTCCATGAAGCAGGAAGTTTGAAGATCTGTTCAGTCTTGTAATGGCAAAGCTTCTCAGTTGCTTTCTTCTGTGTCTTGCAAAGTGTCTGGCAGTTCTTTCACGAAGCAGGAACTGTGAAGGACTATCTCACCTTCTTTAGGCAAGTTCAGCAGTCCCTTTTCTGTGGGTACTGCACGCCTTCTCTTAAAGGAGCCACACCTCTGTTTGCCGCCAGCAAACAGATCCTATCTGAAAAAATGAGGCTACCAAGAAGCTGTGCTTAACTTGGTTCTTTTTTGTCTAGAATTCCTTCCCAAGCTCTCTCAGTTTTTATGTGGATGTAGTTGGCCCATGCTGGTGTCATTTTGTAGGTGGAGACTCCTCTTTTGTTTCTCAGCTGTCCTGACCCGAATAATCATACAGAAACTGTATTAATTGAAACACTGTTTGGCCTATTAGCTTAAGCTTCTTATTAACTAACTCTTACATCTTAAATTAACCCATTTCTACTAATCGCTGTGAGGCTGTGGCCTACCTGTAAGGTTCTTATGTGTTCTTTTCCTTTGTTAGTTACATTGCATCTCCCTGACTCCACTTACTCTCTCTATATATATCCTTTCCAGCCTGGCTATATTCTGCCCTGCTATAAGCCAGAACAGCTTTATTCATTAACCAATAAATGCAATTCTTATACCGAAGGACTTCCCACATCAGGGGCTCTGCAGGTGTCACAGGCAAAGAAGCAAACCTCGAAGAGGTGAGAAAGAAAGCTCAGTTTAGATTGACTTTGTCCATCTGGATCAAACTTGGGGAAGTCTGATACCAGGTGGTTATATAATAGAACAATAACAGAATATCAGACGTAATAGAATGTGGGAAAAAGTTTCCAGACACAACAGTCATTCCCATTCCAGGTTTCCAGGCAACAATGAAGTTTAAGGTGAGGCGACCTTGGAGGTGGGTTCTGTATCTAAAAGGCCTAGGATCTGCTGTGGTCTCTGAGATACTATAGAGATCAGCAGGCCATAAAGTACGCGTGTGACTAAAGATGGGGAGGAAGAGTCTGGGATATGCATTTCTGGTGAGGACACCGGGCCATTAACAGCCTGCACTCTCAGCTTTCCGGGTGGAATGCAGGCATTTTATCTTCTCCATTGAGGAGACCCCCTTACATGTTTAACATTCCTGTTTTCCCTAGTGATCCCTGGGCAAAAGGAGCTTTGTGCCCCTAACAACCATCACTGCTGTCGATACCCTTAACAATTCCTTTTTGTGTTTTTGCTTCTTTGAGATGGGGTCTCTGTAGCTCAGGCTAGCCTGAAACATTTGTTTCTTCTGGCTCAGTCTCTGAAATTCAAGAACTGAGTATAGATGTGTGCTGCTGCACCCAAATTTTTCTCATTTCGAACAGAACCGAGTGGTTTAGTGCCCTGGCTGTTCTTCCATTTGCCAGGGTGTTTGCTTCTTGGCACTCACATCTGGCAGCCCACAACAGCCTGTAACTGTAGCTCCAGGAGATATGATACTCTACACACACAAGCTATAAAAATCTTCTTTAAAAAAATCAACTTTTAATATTAGTGCTTTGTTTGGATTTTTTTTTATTATCCATTTCATGGATTGCTGGTTTAATCTCTATTATTTTTCCTTTTTTTTTTCCTCTTGGAAGATGTCATTTGTTGACAGTCGCATGTAATCCAGCCTAGCCTTGAACTGCTGATCCTCCTAGTGCTACGTGTTACCATTTTTTTCTGGCTAAAAATGTTCAGGGAGAAGGTATGAGCAGTCCTAGGAGTGCCTTACAGAAATTGCTGATCAGTGGAGGACTTTTCAAATTTACCCTTGGTGCACTGGGCACCCTTCCTGTTATGAGGCATCACTCCCTGGGCTTTATGTAATGCGTTATACTAACACTAGCGACACTGACGAGGAGGAAGAGCGAAGAGTGCCTACTAACTAAAAATTCAGCTCTCGGGTGCAGAACGAAGTTCCACTTAAATGCAAACTTTGTCCAGCTACCCGTGTTTTGAGCTCGGCTTCCTCCCTACAGGAGCTGCTCCTGTCACTCAAGCCTCGCTAGCCAATCAGGGTAGTTAAGCAGGCCGTCCAATCAGGATCTCCGGCAGGCGGTGAGGGGCGGGTTCTCTCAGGCTGCTGTGCTGTGGGTTCTCTGTGGCCGAGGGAGGTGCGAGTGTGCTGCGCTGTGTGAGCCGGTACCGGAGCTGTGGGGAGAGCGTGGGCGAGCTCGGAACCGCACCATGGTGAGCGATCGGCCGCTGTCCCCAGACCGGGAGGGCCGGCGGCGGAACCTCGAGCGCTGGTGTAGCCGGGCCTCCTCCTCCTCCTCCTCCTAGTAGGGGCGGGGCGACCTAGGCCCTGGACCAGCAGCTCCGGAGGCCGCTTCTGCGCAGAGCGCTGAGGGCGAGAGGCTCCGCCCTGCTCCCCAAGCTCTGCGCTGGTGACGTCACAGCTGTCGGACTGCTCCTCTCAGATTCGTGATTGTGTTGACGGGACGGCGAGTTGCTGAGTTAAGGTGGTCTAGTTTCTGAGTCTTAGACGTTCCGATGTTTTGCATTGCTTATTTAGGTTTAGGAGCTGCTTTGAATTAGTTTTTGTGAAAGTTGTAAAGCGTGTCCAAGTTTTTGGTTTGCTGCTTTGTTAAATCAGTTACTCTTAGATGTGTGGGTTTGCGCCTGACTTTTTTGTTCTGCTTATTCTTATTTGCGAAATATTGTGCTAATTTGATTATTGTAGTTTGGACATCGTAAAGTCAGATAGTGTATTGTTATGTTTCAGCATGTTGTTAACTTCTTTTTCTTTTTTGAGACTGGCTCAAACTTTATCTTAGCTGAGGATGACCCTGAACTCCTGATCTTGCTACCTAAACTCACCTCCACAGTGCTGAGTTTTGTTGTTGTTGTTTTGTGTGCTTCTGGGAAAGGAACCTAGGGGTCAAGCACATACCGGCTGTGCTATAGCCTTGGTCCTTGTGCTGACCATTCTGCGTATCTCTTGTCGTGTAATGTTTAGATCAGCTTTGTCGTTTTCAACATAAATTCTGAGGATTTGTGTTGGGTTGTGTTGAGTCTGTGGATCCTAACTTTGAGGCTTCCTTTTCAAGGTCATGGAAATCCCTCCACTTCTTAAGTACTTGGATTACTTATTCGTTAGAAGTGTGTATTTTTTTATCTGTGGACTTAGTTACATTAATATACAAATATGTCTCACTTATCTTTGGTGCTGCGTGGACGGTTGTACTTTCAAACTCTTGACAGTCTCAGTAGTGCTCTCCTTTTCTGGCAGTGTTTTGTTTGTTTTTTTGTTTGCTATTACTAGTATGATGGCATGATTTTTACTAGCTAACTGGTCAATTTGGTGGATGACATTTTTACGTTTTTTCTCTTTTTTTGTTGATGGCGATTAAAACATCTTTGCATAGTGCTGGGCATGTGTTTTACCATGGAACATTGTTTATAGTCTGAATTTTAAGGTTTGAATTGACTTTCTATGTCTGCATCGATTCCAGCATGGTTTTAGTATATACTTTGTTTCCAGACAGTCTTTTATTCTGCAGCCCAGGTTGATTTCAAACTCTTGGCAGTCATTTTATTTCAGCCTGCCAAATACTGGGATTACAGGCATATGCAACCACACTGGCTCTGGGCTTTTTTTTTTTTTTAATAATTTTAAAAATACACTTGAAAGTTGAGGTAGCTGATGTTAAGAGTTTTTGCGTTGGTCATTCTTTAGGTTCATGCGTTTTTGTTTTGCTTCATTTTTTCGCCTCTGTTGTTTTGGTGTTATGGTAATGTTGAACTCAAAGTTTGAACTAGGATGTATTTGCCTTTTCAGAGGAAGTTTTGCAGAATCAGTGCCATATCTTAATTGCTTGGAAAAACTGATGGTTGAAATAGTTTGAGTCTTATTTAACCTTGTTTTGAGAGTTTCTTTAGCACAATATAGGCCTACTCATACCGGCCATCTCTCTGTTTACCTTTTGATTATTTCAGAGAATTTGTTCATTTCTTCTGAGTCACTAAATATGTGGTCTGGAGTTGTTCATAGGATGCCTATGGTTCTTTTCATCTTCGTGCTAATGATGGCCCTATTTAATTCTCTCATCCAGGTACTGACCAGGCCTGATCCTGCTTAGTTTCCAAGATCAGGTGAGATCAGGTTTGTTCAAGGTGGTACAACCGTATGTAGGTGGTGCTCTATAATTATAATCATTAATCTTTTTTTTTAAAGCATGGCTGTAAGCTTATCAATTCTATCAATATTTTTTGAAGAACTAGGGTTTGGAGTAATCGGTTGGCTGTCTCTTGATTTTTCTATTCACAATTTTTTTTAATTCTCTAATTATTATTTTCCTGTGCTTTGATTTATTTCTTTTTCTAATGTCCTATTATGGAAGACTAAATGATTTGTTTTTCATCTGTCTTCATTTGTAGTACATGTATTTATTGATTTAATTTCTCACAAACACAACTTGTGTTTTGTGGCATAATTATTCATAAAATGTACTTTAAATTCTTTTGAAATATTTAGATTTCTCTTGAGACCTTTCCTTTACCATGTGTTACCTAAAACTTTGATTTCATATCCAGGTTTTTCAATGTGCTGCCTTTAGTTTAGGAAATCTCCGTGCCTAACCTTAAAGGTGCCAAAATCAAGGGGCATTTGCTCTTCTTTCTGTACAGGGTGAAAGTGTCCAGGTGACTATCCCAAGATTTGTATTAATTTTTCTTTTTTATAATTTTATTATTTATTTTATGTGCATTGATATTTTGCTTGGATGTATGTCTGTGTGATGGTGTCCCCTGGAACTGGGGATCCATGCAGTGAGCTACCAGGTGGGTTCTGGGAATTAAAGCTGATTCCTCTGGAAGCACAGCCACAGCTGAGCCACCTCTCCAGTCCTGGGATTTGTAGAAAGTTTATAGTGATATCTCAAAATATTTCCTGCTCCTGGGCTGGAAGGAACTTTCTTGGCTATGGACGACAATTGGTGTCTTCAGCCCCCTTGCTTTACCATAAGTGTCAGGACAAGCTTGGTGTACCTTGGAGGCAGCTTCTCTTATCATCAGCATATAAATCTGATCCAAAACACAGTTCACAGAATCCCAGCACTTGGGAAAACAGAGGCAGGCAGATCTATATAAGTGAGTTCGAGGCCAGTTTGGTCTGCAGAGCAAGTACCTGTGTGCAGCCAGGGCTACACAGGGAAACAATGTCAAAAACACAAACAAACAAACAACACTACCATTCCCTTAGTTAGCCAAAGTAGAGACTTTTGTCATATTCATGGAAAAAATGAAAGAGGATCAAGAAGTCAATAAAGTAGGAAATGTTTAGAGAAAAGTTACCTATTGGTCTTCCAGCTGGTTTTTTATCTAATTCTGGCTCTTCTGGAATTTGCCATGGTTTCTTCAGTAGGGACCTTTCGCAGTCCTGTTGTGTGTGTGTGTGTGGGGGGGGGGGGGGCTTGTTGCTACAGGGTCTCTATAGACCAGGCTGGCTTCAATTCAGATTTGTTTGCCTTTGCTTCCCAATAGCTGAGAAGTGTGCCACTGTGCCTAGATTTTTTTTTCTTAACATGCTAACCTAGGTTTCCTAGACAATGTAACTAATGCTAGAATGGGCAGTCTGTTTTAATTGGAATTTAACTCCTCTGAGAGAGAAAAAAATGACAAAACTTACAAGAGTTTTGGAAACTCTCAGGATTGGTGTTTAGTTCTTAGATTCCTGTCTGATGCTGTTGGAAAACACCCTGGTGAAAGCAACTTTGGGGAATAAAGGGTTTATTCTGCTAACAATTCCAGATTACAGTCCATTGAGAGGAAAGCCGGCCAGGAATTTGGAGCAGTCACGCCCACAGTAGAGAGCAGAGGGAGAATGAGTGCATGCATGCTTACTTGTTCAGCCCCCTTCTTTCCATTTATGCGGTGAGATAGTGCCACCTCCTGTGGATGGGTCTTCCTGCCTTAGTTAATATAATCAAGACAGTCCTCCACAGCTGTGCTCAAAGGCCAACCTGATCTAGATAGACCCTCGCTGAGACTCTCTTAAGAGGTGATTAGTGTCAGATTAGCTCTTAAAACTAACCATCCCAGTGACTAAACATTTACTTTCCCAAACCCAAACCTGACGTAATGCTAAAATAACACCAAATGAAATTGTTAGTGTCAAGTAAGAGTTACAAGAATTTAGGCATCAAACGCCACTCTTTTCTAAAAATCAGAATTAACCATGCTATATGATGTTTTTTTTTAAATATTTATTATGTATACAATATTCTGCCTGTGTGTGTGCCTGCAGGCCAGAAGAGGGCACCAGACCTCATTACAGATGGTTGTGAGCCACCATGTGGTTGCCAGGAATTGAACTCAGGACCTTTGGAAGAGCAGACAGTGCTCTTAACCACTGAGCCATCTCTCCAAAAAAAAAAAAAAAAGAAGACTATATGATGTTATACCTAGGGAATTGAATAACCTGGCTAGAGAGAAAATTAAAATTACAAGATAATGAATTATTTCAAATACTCCAAAACATTAAACCATTTTTTAGAATACAAACTGTTTTAAAAATTGAGAACCAGATTCAGTATACGTAAAGAGTATGACTTTGAGGCAGAATAATCTGTTTTGGACTGGTGAGATGGCTCAGTAGGTAAAGTCATGTTCTGCACAAGCCTTATGGTCTGAGTACTAATCCCTGGGACCCACATACAAACCAGATGTAGTGGTACATGTATGTAATCTCAGTCCACATATGGTGAGGTGGTAGGTCGGAACAGAAGAATGCCCTGGAAGCTGGCCTGGAATATGTAGTGTAGTAACAAAAATGAGAGACCTGCCTCAGGTTGGAAAGCAAGGTCCAACATTGAAGATTGTCTTGATACCCATGTGCATGCTACAGTAATGGTGGATATCTCTCAGACAGTAGCATCTGCAACTTAATGGCCTATGGTCTCGAAGGTCTCCATAGTACCAGAAGGTTAAACAAGGTTCTCCCTACTCATAACTCTAGTCAGAACCCATAAACAGGAATTAGGAAAGACAGCTCTAAGTCTCTTGGACCTTGCTACCCATAACCCAAATAATAACCCATAAACAGAAATTAGGAAACCCAACTCTAAGTCTCCCAGAAGAATCATCCCTCCAAGACTTAGCGATGTCAGGTATATGCTTTCAGCCTTTTACCTGTATCTGTATCTAAAGTCATAATGGTGAAAAGTGGCACCCCAGCATGACTTTGACAAAGGGGTAAAGTGTATGATAGGGGAAGCTGGAAAGGTGGAAGGAATGGTAGGTATAGGAACTCTGAGATAATGGGATAAAGGAGTAACATGGGCATCATAACTAAAGATCGGTGGTGTCCTTAGTTGTGGCGTAATTTAAAGCTCCCTGGAGGAACAGGTTTAAGGCAGATTCCCTGAAATGACATCAAGGGAGTAAGAAGGTACGACTTGTGCAATTATAGAAGCCAGAAAGGAGAAAGGAAAGGCTGCAGGTGTGTGAGGGTGTGTTTTACCTTGGGCCTCATTGGGAGAGGACAGACATTTTTAAGAGGCTCTCAGGAGTAGGATTTTGGGGGTGGAAAAGCTTTAATTGTAGACAAATAATACGTAGTCATAGGTTTTAAATTCTTTTGAGGTTGGGAACCCCATAGTTAGGATGTCTGTAAGACCTTGTGCCTACTGATTATAAAATCATTTGCATGGTGATTTGTAACTTTGAAGGGGAAATTATAAATATGAGATTAGTTTCTGATGAGTTACAGTAGTGTTCTGATGTGAGGTAAGAGGACTGTTAGAGGTTAATAAAATTATCTGTGTATAAATTAAAGCTATTCCTTTCTGGACATTTCAAGGAAGAAAGGGTTTTCTGTTATGGCAAAGAGGTTGGGGTTGCCCATATGCCCTGAGGCAAGACACTCCAGGTGAGTGGTTGAATCTGGCTTAAGCCATCCTGCCATTCAGAGGCAAATAAGAACTGAGTCTGAGTGTATTGGAATGCAGACAGAAAGCATCCTTAAAGTCTAAACTATAAACTCAGGTATTGGAGTATATTTTTCCTTACAGTGTGAGGGACCTATGGAGTGGTTGGGATCACAGTTTAATTTGTGACTTTTGGTCATGGAATGTTCTTTAGGATCCACCTGACTCTTACTGCCAATGTAAGAGTATTCTATGATGAGTAATGAGGGCTTATGAAATTTGTCAACAAGATGCTCTGAACACTTTTAGGTTTTAGGTTTCAATTTTCGTTTTAGGTTTCAGTTGGGCCTTTGGGGAAAGTCTTTAATGACAGAAGTGGCTGCTGGTGAGCATCTGGGACTAGAGATGCCTCACACTTAAAGGGGAACTTTTTATAAGATGTAGGGTTGTGTAATAGAGATAAGGGAGGATTTCTGGGCTTCTAGACACCCCTGGATATTTATAGGGCAGGGGATTAGCTTTATGAATATTCTAAGGTTCCTTTAAATGTCATAAATGATACTGGGGGTTGGACTCAATGTCCCTACCTAGGAAGGGAATCAGGCAGCTGGGTAGAACCAAAAGGAATGAATGAAAAAGAGTATCATACGTGTTAAGAGAGGTTTAAGTGTGCTGGTTGGAGTTTACCATTACTGCTAGGGAGGAAGACTGGGGACAGGAATGTTAAATCAGAAAGGTAGGGAGGAGAATATAGTTCTTATGTTGTAGTATAGTCATAACCCTTGCCATATCTTGGATCATCAGAGGTTCATACATAGAGTCCCAGGGAAAACTTGGAAGTTGTGTAACCCCAGGGTCATGTCTTCAAAGGAGAAGTTTGTTATTGTCCAGGACCAAAGTTAAGGATGTTGTCAGTTTTCATGTTTGACCCTAGCCTGAGATTTTTAGATATGGGATGGCCCTTTCATGACAGGGGAGAGGGCAGTTATGATTCTAATGGCCCTCCAGTTAGCAGATTATCATGGTCTCATAGGAGGTTTATTATAGCTGAGCTATTTTGTGCTCTTACAGCTGAAACACAGAGACTGACTGCAAGGATCATCAGTGGCTCACATGTCACCAAGATAAGGTGGTTCCTCTAGATGGAGTCCTGCGCTTTCTGAGATGGTTAGGGAAAGGGAAGTTGCCACAGCAATCCCTTTAATCTGGCTTGGCTTTTCTGGCCTTTGAATCCTCTTAATTATTAAGTAGAGCTTTGAAGACTGTGTCTGTCTAGAAAATAGCAGGAGAGGAATTTGGTGTCCCTGTTCTGATTTTTGAAACTTTTGTTTAATACCTGAAGAAGTTTCAAAAAATTTACAAATAGGTTGCCTTTGGCCCTTAAGAGTCCAGGTTAGTGTATTGGTTACCTGATTTCAGCCTATCTATATTAAAATAAAAGAAACATGGTATTTAGATGGCTCACTTGTTATGTTTCATAACAGAGCATTGTTAGTGGAGTTGATAGCAGCAGTGTTTTGCTTTCTAAGACATGGGGAATCATGTATTCCTGGGGATACGTTCCCCCTTGTTTCCCACAGAGGAGTGCTGATATAATCATCTGAGTTCCCTGTCAGGTACCGTAAAGGAACATGTCTTTTCTGTTATCAGGGTTAAGACTATGGCTCTCATCTCCTCAGCTGCCTGCTAAAGTTTAGGTATGGAACATCTTTGTACACGTATAGCAAGTGTTTAGAATGCTGTAAGTAGGGACTGGAGAGGTGGTTCATCGCTTAGCCCTGGCTGCTCCTCCACAGACTCGGATTTCATTGCCAGCATTCACATGGAAGCTCATAACTCATCTATAACTCCAGTTCAAAGGGATCTAGTGTCCAGTTATGGTCTCCAAGGGGACCAGGCATGCATAGGGTGCACAGACATATGTGTGGGCAAACACGTATACATATAAAAATAATTAAAAAGTAAAATGTTATAAATATATTCCCCAGATTAGGTTAAAAGACTACATACAATTAACCCTTTGAATTCCTTAATGAAGATAGAAGGGACTTTTGGGCAAAATGATCATAGTTGTTAGATTTGGAGCAGATCAGATGGAGAAAGAAACAGGGACCTAGATGGTGCTGAGGTCCCCACTAGCCACCTCACAGACAATATATAGATTTCCAAGGGTTAAAAAGTGTCACTTTTACTTGCTTCTTGAGTTCTCTGTCAAACTTATGGGTGGATATGTGAAAGGAGTGTATCTGGGTTGGGGGCAAGAGTCAGAGACTAACAGGTGGAGAGAGGCAGTTTTCACAACAAGAGAAATGAAGTTTTTTAGAATTGTTGATTACAGTTAGCTGTCTTTTTTTTCCCCCCTCTATCACCTTAAAATATCAACAAGGAATTCCTTTGGCCTGTGTCCATCCGTTGTGAATGGGAAGTATATCTTTCTGCAAAGACTGAAAAGGACTTTCTTAGCTTGTCCTGTGATGGGAGACTGTAATCTGGGATGCAACTTAAAGACTTTTAGACCTTGTTTGAGAGTCTTCTAAATTAGGAGACTTTGACTATTAACTCACCTCCACAAGCACCAAGAAAGATAAGAAGAGAGTTTCTTTGTAAGCCATCAAAATGCTGGGCAAAACAGCATAAGAAATACCAGTAACAGTCAATCAAAAGTATTATCCAAGACATGCACAGAGTTTTTTGAAATACGTAGGAAGCAGTAAGCTCACAGAGGGAGTTGCGTAGCTGAGAGGGTGAAGGACTTCTTTTCATAACAGTTAGGGAAACTGACTTGGATTTATATGATGTCGTCCATATCAGGGTGGATATGTGAAATACATTTTCTTGTGGAATAGCAAGTTTTGCATTTTTTCTTTAAGCTGGCTATTTTTATTAAGTCCCAGTAAACCTCCAAAGTATGAAAATTTGTTTTTATTTTTGGTCTTTTTGTTTACAGAATAGTATGAAAGTCTTTGGTATGTTCTAGGCAAGCCATCACTTTACTGTTTAGAAGACTGATAATTGCTAAGAACTTGGACTAGGCGAAAGTTGGAAAATTAATTATTGGTGACTACTAATAGGTGGGTTTTTAAATATCATGTGATTTTATAAAGATATAATCCCGAAGAGGTGACATTTTGGTGACACTTCTCTTCCCCCCCTCTCTCTCATCCTTCACTACCTCTTTCCCTCCTGAGATAGCTTTTAAATAGAGTACGGACTGGCTTTGAACTTCTGGATGCAAGTGATTCTATATACTGGTTTCCCAAATATCTGGGACTATAAGCACATATCAACATATCTGACTATATTGCATTCTTAGTAAAAGCATATGCCATCTAATTGTTTCATGTTATTTTTTTGTTAGGATCATTAGTCATTCTTGCTATGGTAAATTCTAGATGGTATAAATTACCTTTGAGGCTTCTAAATGTTTTCTCTTGGTATAATCACACAGGATGGGCTCAATTTCCCCACTTAACAAATGAGAATATGTATGAACTGTTGTCTACCAGAAAAATTCTGTAGCCTCATTACCCAGATCATTGGGGGCAGGAACAGATTGTCTTGGTACCCCTGTGTGTATAGAACATTCATAAAGTGCTGTTTGTATAAGTCATTTAGAATAAGAGAACTGTTCTTACCATTTATGTTTGCGGAATGTCTCCCAGGATCTTAGGTTCCCCAATAGCAGAAAAGCCCACATTTTTGTATGTAGAAATATATAAAGAAAAACAATATCTTGACTGCTAATGTTAGTTCTATTCTATATATCATTTGGCAGAACTCTCTTATTATAGGTATTAGAAATCCACTCTAGAAAGAAAAAGTGGGGTGGCCTAGCAGCACATTCAACTTGCAGGCACAGTAATGAGTTTCTACTCTGCTATTTCTTCTTTGTTAATCACCCCCGCCCCCCAATGAAATCAGAGTCTCGGTATTTTCCTGGCTGATCTAGAACTCTGTTGCTATACCCTTTCTTAACATCTCAGGGCTAGCACTTGAATTTCAGTTTGACTGAATAAATTCCTGAATACCATAAAAGTATATGAGCATCTTATCAACTGAGTGTAAATCTCTACATCTGTTAGTTTCATCTGTTCTTTTCTGTGTACATCCGGGATGTTTTAGGATCTTTTGGCCTTCGAGGATGTGGCAGTGAAGTTCAGCCAGGATGAATGGATATTGCTGGGTCCTTCTCAGAAGAAGCTGTACAGAGATGTGATGCTGGAAACCTGCAGTAACCTTACTTCTCTAGGTAGGAATGCCACCGTTTATTTTGTCAGGAAACACGTGTTCCTTGGTCCTATGATTGGGAATTTGGAAAGGGAAGAAGTCAGTGAATAAACAGGCATGGGTCCAGTGTACATCAAACCTAGAAACTCAGTTTTCTGTAGTTTCTAACAGTTTGTGATTTTTCTGGGTCTTCATTTTAGGCATCAGATGGGAAGACCAGAATATTGAACAGCAGTGTGAACATTCTTGGAGACATCTAAGGTAATTTGAATATACAAGTGGAAGAAAGTTTTGCTTAAAAAACTCTTAATGTGGGGCTAGGCAGAGGTGGTGCACACCTTTAATCATAACACTTGGAGGCAGAGACAGGCACATTTCTGTGAGTTTGAAGCCTGCCTGGTCTACAGAGCAAGTTCTAGGACAGGCTCCAAAGCTACAGAGAAACCCTGTCTTGAAAAATCACCCTGTCACGCAACAAAACAAAGCAAAAAAACCCAAAACCTTCTTAATGTGTTACAGAAGTTTATAAACAAATAAACAACAACAACTAAAGGAGCTGGAGGGAGGGCTCAGTATTTAAGACTATTGGAGGACCTGGGTTCTGGTCCCCACTCCTACCTGATGGCTCACCACCATCTGTTACACAACTTCCAGGGCATCTAGTATGGTGTACACACATACATATAGGAAAAACACCCAAGTACATAAAATAAATAATGGTGAAATTTTAAATTAAAAAAGAAAACGAGAGCCAGAACATTAAAATTTACTTATTAGAAAAATTTTGCCAACAATACATACTTTAGTGTATACATTTAAAAAAAAAATCACTCGGAAACAGTACTTAGACAACACCCATGCACATATATAAAGATTAATTTGTGTATTTCATATATATGGCTATTTTGTATGCATACCAAAGGCATTGAATTCCATGGGCCTATAGGTATAGGCAATTGTAAGTCACAGCCTGAGTGCTGGGGATTGAACTCAAGACCTCTAGAAGAGTAGCCAGTTCTCTTAACTGATGAGCCATCTCTCCAGCCTGTGGGGTCCGTTTTGATAGTAACTCTTTTAGGGAGCATAGAATCATCAGTCCATTTTGTTTGAAACCATTCAGGTTGCAAAACATACACTGGTTTTTATGAGTAGTGTAAGTCTAGCACTTACTAGTGTGCAGAGAGTCATTAGTGAAGCAGCCATTGCTAACCTATTTATACTTTTTTTTTTTTTTACAGAAGTCACATGGTAGATACAATCTATGAGCATAGAGAAGGTGGTAAGTTTCAAGAATCCTTTACCTGGATACCAAATCTCCATAGTAGTACAAACATTTCTGCTGGAATAAAACCATTTGAATGTGGTGTGTGGGGGAATGTTTTCACTTGTAATTCACCCTTTAATGAACATACCATGTCTCACTTGAGGGACAAACATTCTGAACACAAATATGGTAAGAAGCGCTATAAATGTAAACAATGTAGGAAAACCTTGAACCCTCAAATATTCGATGATACTCAGATACTTTATAAAAGTCAAATGTTTTAAAAATATTTTCATTTTCCAGGTTCATTTGGAATACAACAGCGACGGCACAGTGGTGAAGAATCCTATAAGCCGTCTGGAATGGCTGTCATTTGCCCCTGTTCATTTTCTATAGATGGAAGAATCAACACCGAAGATAAATGTTCTGAGTGTTTACAGTGCGGTAAAGCTCTGAGTTCTGGTTCCCGTCAACGTCATCAAAGAGTTCCTAGTGGCGAAAGCCCCTATGAATGTGAACAGTGTGGACAGTCCTTCAGACAGCAAAGTTCATTTCATTTACACAAATTAACTCATATTGGAGGGAAACCCTATAAATGTAAACAGTGTGGGAAAACCTTCAGATGTCACAATTATCTTCAGTTACATGAAGTTTTTCATATCGAAGAAAACCCCTATGAATGTAAACAGTGTGGAAAAACCCTCTGTTCTCCCAGTTCTCTTCGATTTCATGAGAGGATTCATAATGGAGAAAAACTTTATGTATGTAAACAGTGTGATAAAGCTTTCAGATGTCAAAGTTACCTCCGAATGCACGAAAGAACTCACAGTGGTGAAAAATGTTACGACTGTAAACAGTGCGGAAAAGCCTTCAGAAGTCACTGCTCCCTTAAAAGACATACAGTAGCTCATCCTGGGAAAAAGCCTTATGCATGTAAACAGTGTGCTAAGTCCTTCACTTATCCATATTTACTTCAGACACATGAAAGATTTCACACTGGCGCAAAACCATACAAATGTAAGCTATGCAGTAAAGCCTTTCTGTGTTCCCCCTTTCTTCAAAGACACAAAAGGACTCATATTTGGGGAGAACCCTATCAGTGTAAACAGTGTGGTAAGGCCTTCAAAAGTCACAGTTCCCTTCGATTGCATGCAAGGGCTCATACTGTCGAAAAACCTTATAAATGTAAGATATGTAGTAAAGTGTTTCTATGTCCTTCCTTCCTTCAAAGACATGAAAGAGCTCACATTGAGGAAAAACCCTTTGAATGTAAGCAATGTAGTAAAGTCTTCAGAGATTGGAATACCTTCCAAACACATGAAAGATCTCATATGGTAGAAAAGCCCTATAAATGTAAAATATGTAGTAAAGGTTTTTATTATCCCTCCTCCCTTGAAAGACATGAAAAGATTCATACTAGAGGAAAACACTATGTATGTAAATATGCATGTGAACAATGTCATCAGACTTTCGTTTTTCCTTGTTTACTTGAGAGGCATTTAAGAACTCACACGGTTGAAAAACCCTATGAATGTAAGCAGTGTGGTAAGGCATTTAGGAGTCTCACTTACATTCACATACACAAAAGAACTCACACTAAAGAAAGACTGTATCCATGTAAACAGTGTGATAAAAGCCTCAGTTGTCCCAGTGCCCTTCAGTTACATGAACTAACTCATGTTAGAGAAAAATCCTATGCATGTCTGCAAGTTGATAAAACGGCCAGGAAATTCAGTTATTTTCAAGTACATGAAAAACCTCATACTGAAGAAAAAGCTTATGACTGTAAGCAGCAATGTACAATTCTCAGTTGTTCAAGTTCCCTTCAGCTACACGAAAGGATCCATCCTAGAGAGAAACCACATGAATGTAAACAATATGGCAATACCTTCACAGCTCTCAGTAGTTTTCGAGTGCATGAAATACCTCACAATCTTGAGAAACCCTCTGAATGCAAGCAACATGGTAAAGTGTTCAGTCTTAGTAATATATATGAAAGGAAGAAAGCTGAAGGAAATCCCTGCGAATGTAAGCAGTGTGGCAAGTCCTTTGTTTCTCGGTATTTACTCCAAATGCATGAAAGGGCTCATTCTGCAGAGAAGCGCTATGAATGTAAAGTATGTGGCAAATCCTTCATTTATCCCTCTTTTCTTCAAAGACATGAAAGAACGCATACTGGAGAAAAACCTTATGAATGCAAACAATGTGGTAAGGCCTTCAGAGTTCAGAGCTCCCTTCGATTACATGAAAGAACTCATTCTGAGGAAAAACCTTTTGAATGTCAACACTGTGGTAAAGCCTTCTGGCGCCTCCCTTCTCTTCAAGTACATGAAAGAATCCATACTGGAGAAAAACCCTTTGAATGTCAACAATGTGGCAAAACATTTAGATGCCACAGTTCCCTTCAAAGACATGAAAGAACTCATAGTCATGAAAAGCCATATGACTGTCATCAGTGTGGTAAGACCTTTAGATGTCACCGGTCACTTCAGAGACATGGAAAGACTCATGCTGGGGGAAAAGCTCCATGAGTCTGAACAGTGCAAAAACTTGTGGACTGTCTAATTTCCTTCTAATGTTTGAAAGTACTCCTGGGAAGAAAATCTGGTAGTGTAAGACTAGTGAAAGCTTCAGGGTTTTTGTTGTTGTTGTTGTTTGTTTGTTTTTTTAATCATAGACTTCCTGGAGAAAAACCTATCAGGAATATGTGTTAATATATTCAGTTCTAAGCTGAACATGGCAATGCATGCCTTTAATCCCAGTACCGGAGTGTCAGAGGCAGGCAGATATGAGTTCCAGGCTGGACAGGGCTACAAATGAACAAAAAGATGTTGGCTTCCATTTGAAAACTTGAACATCTCTGGTGGAACACCTTAGGAATAAATGTAATGTTAGGATACTTCATTTTTCATATGTCCTCTTGAATACATGATAATGAAAATAGGGGTAGCTCTTATAAGAATGGATTTTGGATTGAAACTAGTTTGGAAAGTAAAGTTTGCAACATTTTAACCGTCAAGAGGACTATTGGAAGTAAATTTTAAATATATTGAAATCCTGATGCAAGTTAACCTATAATGTCCAGATTTTTATAATATGAATTTAATCTTATATAGGTTATGAATATATTGTATTTACCAGGGATTTGTATTTATTGATGTTCCTAGAAGGGCTTGATGGTGCAAGCCTGTAGAACTAGTTACTTAGGTCACTGACGGAGGAGAATTGCAAGTTCAGGACTTGGCCAAGCAATTGATGTACTGTTTTGTCATCAAAAACTGAAGAGTACTGCATATGTTGTTCATTGGGTAGAATACTTGATGGACATACCTGAAACTGTGAGTTCAGTCTCCAGTATTCTTATCAGAAGAATGAGTTGCCATTTCTTTTAGGCATACGTTGAGGTAAAAATGAAGTATAGTCTTCCAGCAATGGAGGTAGTTTGTAATAATATATACATTCTTAGACAATTCCATAACTGAAGGTCATTGGGTGTTCTCCTGATGTCGTGATAAAGTATTCCATCAAAAGAAGCTAGGAAGGGTTTCTTTTGGTTCAGAGGTTGAGCTGTGTCACAGTTTGCCATGGCACAGAAGTCACGGCAGGAAGAGCTTGTTGGAGCTTGTCACGCTGTGTCTACAGTCAAGCAAGGAGTGATGAATACCCACGACTTTCTAGTTTTCTCTCTTTTATGCAAGTCTAGAACCCAAACCCAGGGAATAGTGTCACCTTGAGGGTGGGTCTTCCTGTCTCAAGTTAAATCCCTTACAGACAAGCCCAGAAGCTCATCTCCCAGGTGATTTTAGATTTTCTCAAGATGATAATATTAACTATCACAAATATAGTATAGTTTACCGAAATCTACTCCAAACGTGCAGTATAATGTTTTACTGATTTAGGAAACTGAAAATATTTGGTATAAATATATAAAAGGATAATAGTATAAGGATAATGGAGTCTTCAGGACTGGATACTGCTCTGTGTGTCTGTGGGTTCTAGTTTAGTGAACGTGAATGTTAAGGACCTTACTATACATTAATATTACTGCAATTAACTTTATAGACACTGTAGACTTAGATTTTATTATGTATAAAAGATCATTTTATAGTGAATTAGGTAATAACTTTTTAACTTTGCAAAGTTACAATTTTTTGATGCATTTTTACTTTCTTAGTCACCAGTTTGCAAATAAGAAATTTGTATACCTTTGGATTACATTGGGTTGAGAAGCTTGTTTTTTTTTTTTTTTTTAAAAAATGCTTTCTAATTTACTGAAATGTATTTTACAGAGATTGTTTAGTGAATTTTGGTTTGGGATTATCCAATAGTTTCTGATATGGTCGTAAGTGTACCTTTGTCATTTTGTACTAATTTATGTGAAGGGCACTCAACATTGATGATTCAACTCGGGAAAACAGCGAGTCTCTAAATTTTGCGTTCTCAGATATTCAGTTTTTTTTTTTTTGTTTTGTTTTCTTTTTTTCGACAGGGTCTCACTGTGTAGCCCTGACTGGCTGGAACTCAGTATTGTATACCAGGCTGACCTTTAATTCAGTGATTCACCTGTTTCTGCCTCTTGAGTTTTGGTATGAAAGGTGAGTGCCACATTCAAGTAAGATTTAATACCTAATTTAAAATAAGCATCTAGGGGGCTGGAGAGATGGCTCAGTGGTTAAGAGCATTGCCTGCTCTTCCAAAGGTCCTGAGTTCAATTCCCAGCAACCACATGGTGGCTCACAACCATCTGTAATGAGGTCTGGTGCCCTCTTCTGGCCTGCAGGCATTCACACAGACAGAATATTGTATACATAATAAATAAATAATTTTTTTTAAAAAAAATAAGCATCTCATCTCAATTAGTATGAAAATTGGTTTTTATCTTTAATAAATGGTAATGTTTACTAAAGATTGGTTTTTAAATAGATTTCTTTTTTCAAATGCTTTAAGATACAATTATTTTGTATCTCTGTGTGTAAAGAGAGGCAATGTAGCCAGAAGGTGATTCACATACTGTGAAGAGCTGCCAAATAAAATTTTGCTTCTGTTGACACCTGTATATTCTGTTTTGTTCTGTTTGTAGATTAGATCATAGAAAGGATTGATTAAGATTAAAAATTAGGGTTAGGTTTAGAGAAGTAGAAATTAGGTTTCTGGTAAGGGTTAGGGTTTTTATTGTTATGCGTTAGGATAAATCATAGTGGTAGGGCCAGAGATTAGGTACTAGGGATAGGGGTTTAAGTTTTAAGTTTAGGTTTTTACATTACAGATTAATGTTTGGGATATGATTAATATTATGTGTGGTTGAACATGAGGTTGTATATCATTAGGATTCGGGATGGTATTAGAGTTAGGGTATTGGTTGGGTTTAGTGTAATGATAGTGTTAGTAGCTGATTAGAGTAGGATTCAGGATAGGATCAGTGTTAGGATTTGGGATGTTACGTGTTAGAGTGTTAAGGTTGTCAATGGAAGTAACATTAGGGTAAAAAACTGAGATTAGGTTTAGGCTATGGTTAAAGGTTAGTGTGAAGTGGCAACGCTTTATGTCTTCTAAACAGACCTGTCGTGGCTTGCATAAAAATGGCCCCTATAGGCCCATAGGTAGTGGCACTATTAAGAGGTTGCCTTGTTGAGGTAGGTTTGGCTTTGTTGGAGGAAGTTTCAATAGGGGCCAGGCTTTGAGGTCTCAAATGCTCACGTCAGGTCTAGTGTGACATTTCTATTCCTGCTGATCTGGGTGTAGAACTCTCAGCTCCTTCTCCAGCATCATGTTTGCCTGCGTACTGCTATGTGTCCTGCCATGATGATAATGGTGTGAACCTCTGAAACTGTAAGCCAGCCTCAATTAAATGATTTTCTTTGTAAGAGCTGCCTTGGTTATGGTGTCTCTTCACAGCAATAAAACCCTATTAAGACACCTCCCTTATGTTTAGAAACTTTTAAATGAAAAGAAGTGTTAGAGAGGTTGGAAAATTCAGAAGACTAACAATATAATATATATGTATTAGTACTCAAGACGTTTCTAATGAGTCATGTTGTGTCAAAACTTAGTTGTCTTAGAAGTGCACTTTCCTTAGGCCTTCCTAGGTCAATAGCCACTGTGGGAAGGGACCCGTATTAGGTCTGGACTAAGAGAGTGTTTCAGAGGTCTAAGATTGTTTGCTTCATCTGGTTAATAAGAGAAGTTAAGTATGAGGTAAATATTACTTAGCAACCCATTCTGTCTTCTAAGTACACACTACATGATGATTAAAAACATTAAGCTGTGCCCTTAACAGTGATCCTCTGTTCCCACTTTTCTACATAGTGATGCATTGTCCCATCATAGACCTTCTCTGTCCCACCACTGCGCTCCTCTGTTCCATGCTAGTATGCCAGTGTTCCTTTGTATCCCATCATAATGCTTACCTGTTTTCACAGGTTTCTGCCTATCATAATATTCTTTTGATCCATCAAGATATAAGTTTCATCAGCACTCTGCTCTGCCATCTCAGCCCTCCATTGTCCTGGCACAGTGACTTATAGTCTAATCACAGTGCTCTTCTCTCCATCAGCATCCAACTTTTCTGTTATTCACCAGTGTATCAGTCAAGCCACTCAATTGTTCGATCACAGTGTCCCACTGCTCCCCACAACACAGTAGAGCAGGGCTACAGTACTCCACTATTTCAACACTGCTCCTCTGCTTCATCACCAGGTTCCACCATCATGTCTCAAGTGTCCATGGTCCCATCACAAGGCTCTAGTACTCCCAAACAGTAGTATTTCATTGCTGTATAATAATGAGATATTGTGATAATATGATGTTCATCCAGTTTTTAGTTGTTTGCCACTATGCTCTCTTTCATCCTCTTGTCGTGCTTCTTTGCCCTACCAGTATCTCACTTTGTGTTTGCTTTTGAAATGTGTCTCAATATGTAGTCCTGGGTAGTCTGATACTCGATATGTAGAGCAGGCTGGCCTCAAACTCCCATACCCCCTCAGTGCGAGGATCGAAGGTGTGTGACACCATGTCTGGCCAGCTGTTTCATATCAGTCCTCTCCTGTCCCACTAGAATGCTTCTTTGTCTGTCACAGTGGTCTACTGGCCAATCAACCAGTCACAATATTTCTTTCTTTCTCCATGTGTTTAGAAGTACTGTCACAATGCTCCTCTCCTACCCTAATGCTCTCTGTCGTACCACAGTGCTGTAGTGACCTTACAGTCCCCTGCTGGTCTGTCAATGGTTTACTGTTCACAGAGCTTCTCTTTCTATGGCAGAGCTCAGTAAGTGTCCACCTCCCCACCTCAGTTCTAGTTCTCATAAATCCTTTATTCCATTGCATTTCTCAGCTGTCCAATCACAAGTTTTCTCTGTCCTATCACGCTCTGTTTTTCTCTCACCTCTGTATTCATCACAATGATTCCTTGTGTCGTCACCATGTTAAACAGATCTAAATCAGTCTCTACCACTGCACTAACCCACACTTCTGATGTTCTTTCACAATGTTTCTTTGCCCCCATCTTGTTTTCTTTTGTCCCATTACAACACTCTTATATTCCCTCAAAAGCTCTACTGTCCCTATCCACAGTGTACCAGTGTACCAGTGTTCCATTGTATTCCATTACTGCCCTGACACAATGTCCCCCATCCTATCATAATGTTCTTATGTTCCACCAAATCGGTCCATTAATCGTGTCATAATTCTTTTCTAACAATAGTGCTTCATTATGCCATCACCATATTCCACTGTCCAGCCCAATGCTCATTCCTATTGTAATGTAACACTGGGACTCCTGGGTAACTTGGCAACCCAGAAGCTTCACCACTAAGTTCAAGATAATAGACAACACTCTCCTTTCCTCCAAGAGGCGGGGCCTATAAACGAACTTCCTAAGCCTGGGAAGATCTCGGCAGGGAAGCAGGCAGATTCAAGCCCTGGGGAACAAGGGAAGTACTGCTCTGCAGACGTGGAACTTGCAGGATCTGAAGAGGTCAGAATTGAGTTCTGAGGGAATTATCAGGAAAGGGTTTTCAAATTCCTCTCCTCTAGAACCACTTGGGACAGCGGCAGAGCCTAGTTCCCCTTCTCCCACACAGCACCATGTGCAGCTTGCTGGAACCAGAAGAATCTGAGAATTGCTTTTCAACCCAGTGCAGCTGTGCCGGCAATTTAATTCCCTAAATGCTAAGAAAAATTCTTTTGTGCAATCCCTGTGCTTGCATGTATGTCTCGGTGATTTAGTTAACACACTGTTTTGCTAGGTTCTAGAATTGTTCTGTCTTTTCACCCAGGGACTTACTTTTACCATCTTATCCATTCATATTTGTATGTAATTTTCTTCTTCATACTTAGCACCTCCTCTTTTGTACTTAAAAGAAAAAAATCTTATAAGTGATTTGCCTGCATGTTTGTCTCTGTACCATGTGCAGGTTGCCTGCAGAGGCCAGAAGAGTGCATTATAATCTCTAGAAGGGGAATTTCAGACAGTTGTTAGTGATTATGTGCGTGCTGGGAACCAAATGTAGGCCCTCTGTAAGAGCAACAAATACTTTTAACCACTGAGTAATCTCTCCAGCCCTCTTTGTCCTCTATAACCATCCAGGGTTTTACATCTGACCTTCATGGGCATCTGCACTCACATTTCGGTCCATAGATGGTTTGAATTTTAGTATACCTATGTTAATTTCTCAATAGGGTTAGTATTTAGTTTTGGTATAGGACCATAGTTTGGTTAGCTTAGAGTTAGGGTTATGCTTCAGATTAATAATGCTGTTAGTTTTCATGTCTGGGTTAGGATTAAGATTGGCAGTTTAAGGTTATGGTTAGAATTAGGAATTGGGCTTGGGGATAGGTTAGTGTTAGAATTGTATTATAGGATAGGGTTAGTGCCAGGGTATAGGGTAGCGTGAGGGTTAGGCAATGTTAGTGTTAGTGTTAGGGTTAGGCTGAAAGTTAGGGATAGGAATAGTGTTAACATTAGGATAAGGGTCAGGTAGAAGACTAGGCCATTGTTAGGGTTATGCTTAGGATAGTGTTTAGGTTGACAGTTAAGGTTCTCTTAGGAATGGAATAAGGTTTAGTGTTAGAGCTAGGGTTAATATTAGGGTTTCGTTATGGTTGGCTCTCTCCATGAACTTTTCTGCTTGCTTCTTATACAGCTCAGAAACACCTGCCCAGGATTGCATTTCCTGTAATGTTCTGGCCCGCTAGCTACAAATATTAATCAAGAAAAATTTCCACAGTTCATGCCCACATGTCAGTCTAATGGAGAGAATTTCTTTTTTTTTTTCTTTTCTTTTTTTTTATTTTCGAGACAGGGGTTTCTCTGTAGCTTTTGGTTCCTGACCTGGAACTAGCTCTTCTAGACCAGGCTGGCCTCGAACTCACAGACATCCGCCTGCCTCTGCCTCCCGAGTGCTGGGATTAAAGGCGTGCGCCACCATCACCCGGCTGGAGACAATTTCTTAATTGAGATTTTGCCTTTCCAGATATGTCTACGCTTGTTTCAAGCTGGCAAAAACTATCCAGCCCGGCTAGTGTTAGAATGTGGTCATGATTAGGGTTAGAGTTATTATCTTAGTTACTTTTACATGACTGTGATAAACCTCATTTCCAAGGCAAATTATAGAAAAAAGGCATTTCAGAGTTTAGAGTCCATGAATGCAGGACAAAGATGTGGTACAGGAACAGTTGAGAACTTACATATTGATCCTCAAGTAGGTAGAGAGAGATACACCGAGAATAGCTAGAATCTTTTGAAATTAAAGCCCACCCCCAGTGACATCTCCAGCAAGGCCATACCTATTCTTAAATGGCTCTACCAACTGGGACCAGTTATCTAAACATATGATGCTATTGGGGCCATTCTTATTTAAAACACCCCATTAATATTCTCTGTCATGTTAAGTTTGGAGTTAGGGTTCTAATCAGATGTTGGCTAGAGTTAGGTTTAGGGACAGAGTTATGGTTATAACTTAGTATGGTTGGACTTAGAGTTAGGATGAGTGCTATTGTTAGCCTTATGGATACACGAGAGTTACATTTATTTAGGGTTTGTGTTAGGC